TCGGCGGGGAGGGGGCGGGGAAGGGGGGGCTGCGGAGGGGAGGGGAGGGGAGGGGAGGAGGGGAGTGGAGGGGAGGGGGAGGGGGGGGGAGGGGCGGGGGGGGGAGGGAGGAGGGGAGGGGGAGGGGGGGGGGAGGGGCAGGGGGGGAGAGGGGCAGGAGGGGAGGGGGGGTGAAGGGCAGGAATGGAATGGAATGGAATGGAATGGGCCCCTTCGCGATGCGGAATTCATTCTAGACTGCTGGAGCACTCCACCCCCTGACCGTGACGGAGGCCGAGACGACCAGGAAGCCCCACGTCAGGACAAAGTAGCCGTTCACCATATTGCACGCGACGCTCATTTTCTTCCAGCTGCCGATGCCAGGAAATGTGATGAGGTACTCGAAAACATGACCAGCCACTTAATGGAAACACATGTCTGCAAGTGTCACCAATTTGACAAGCGCCAGCCCAGCAAAACATTAGGTTGCAAACGTGACACAACGTAAGCAGACAGCCCCAATACATGTGTAAGGTGCGAGAATAATCCGGTGCGGGGAGTGGGAGGGGCGGGGAGAGGGAGGGAGGGAGGAAGGGAGAGGGAGGAAGGGAGAGGGAGGGAGAGGGAGGGAGAGGGAGGGAGAGGGAGGGAGAGGGAGGAGAGGGAGGGAGAGAGGGGGGCGGGCGCCTGGCCTCGGCGGGAGGGAGGGAGGGGAGGAGAGGGAGGGGTAGCAGGGGAGGGGGGGGAGGGGGGGGGAGGGGGAGAGAGGGGAGAGAGAGGGGAGAAGAGAGCGGGGAGGAGAGTGGAGAAAGAAGGAGGGGGCAAGCCAGGTGCGATCGCGCCGCATGTGACATCTTGCTCCCTCCCGTCCCTTCACATTGCGCTGTTTTTGTTAGCCATCCGTGGACGCGCGTCATAGACGACCTGGATCTCCGGCAAAGACCCCAGTCGTGCTATGCGCAATCGGGAAAGGGGCGACTGCGTATGGAGGAGGAGGAGGAGGAGGAGGAGGAGGAGGAGGAGGAGGAGGTGGAGGTGGAGGTGGCGGGTGAGCAGGAGGATGAGCAGGAGGAAAAGAAGAAGGAGGAGGGAGAAGGAGAACGAGGACGAACAAGACCAGGGGAAGACACAGGGTCGACCCTGCTGAGGCATTCCCCGCGGCCCAGCGGCTATGTGGCCGCCGCAATGGAGCTGAGTGGATGGCAGCATTGCCGCACAGGCCCTGAACTGTTTCACCGATGCCAGGTCATGTCATACCCCGCTCCCCTGAAGCCTGCATATTCAAGCTGCGCTGTGCGAGCGCAGCGAGAAGTCGAGACCCGTTGAGTCCTCCTCCTCCTCCTCCTCCTCCTCCTCCACGCGGGAAGAAATGGCAGCTTGCTTAGGAAGAGCACGAGAATCAGCACCAGGGCCAGATAGGCTCACCTACGCTGCGTGGAAAGGCCATCCCTCCTGCCTCGACGTCCTCTATCGTCTCCTCCTCTATCTGATGGGCGGTCAGCCCCCTCCAGAAGGCCTCAACCACAGCGTTTTTGCGTTTATCCCCAAGGGCGAGGACCCGAGGGACACCACGGACTGTGTGAGGGACCCAGGGACCCTCCGTCCTCTGTCGCTGAAAAATTCGGACAGCAAGCTTCTGGCGTCTACGCTCAATCAGCAGCTTCAGCACCTTGTGGTCCAGAGGTCCCACGTGGTCCAACAGGGATTTGTGAAAGGAAGGAATCTTGGCCACAATATTCTAGCAATGGACACAGCAGCTCGGAGAGCCGGCATAGTCCACGCAGAATCGCATCCCATATTTCTGAGCTTTGACATAAAAGCTGCCTTTCCCAGCATGAGTCAGACGTGGCTAAGGCTTGTGCTTGAAAGACATCGCATGCACATCGGTTTCTTCTACGCCATTAATGCCCTCGCTGCAGGTGCCCTGGCTCATCTGTCAGTAGGCTCTGAAGTTGTGCCCATGTTTGATATCACGTCTGGCGTGCCCCAGGGGTGTCCCCTTTCTGGCTCCCTTTGGGCCCTGGGCTTTGACCCCCTCCTTCGCCACCTCGTTCGACCCTTCCCCAGTAAAGAGGACGCCTCCCTGGGGGCCTGCGCCGACGATGTAGGGGTTGTTCTAAACAATATAATGTTGATGCCTCGTCTATTTAATACTTTCCAATATGCACAGAAGTTGGCAGGCCTCTTGCTCCAGACAGCGAAATGTGTAGTCGTACCGCTAGCAGTTGAATGCACCGAGGCAGAAATCACCAGATATGCTGCCATCATTGCGAACCTAGTGCCAGAATGGTCGGATGTGAAGATCGCGGGATTCGCAAAATACTTGGGCGTGCTGATAGGACCAGCAGCCACTCTGTCACTCCAGTGGCATGAGGCGGGACAGAAATGGTGGACCCGAGTCCGAATGATTGCCAGCAGCAGATCCCCGAGCGATGCGTCGATTCGGCTTTATGAATGCACGGCATTATCAGTCCTAGGATATCTGGCACAATTCTTCCCACTCTGTGCGGAGATTATGAAGAAAGAATACTATGCTCTTCACAAGCTTTTGCGCATGCCACCAAGCTCATTCGCCTTGCATGATTTTCTCAGCATGAAGAATTGGCTCAAGGCAGCCACCATCACGAGCGTCCGTATATATGCCCTTGCGAATGCATGGCGAGCAAGCATGTACACCCTTCGAGGTTGGGAGGAGGGCTTTGACTGGTGGTGGGAGGGGGTTGATCTTCACGGGCTGCACATGCGAGTTCGCAAACAACTGATGTCAGCGGAATGCTGGCAGAATGAAAAAGGCATCCTCCAGTACTACAGGCTCTTCACTTCCTGCCGTGACCTTCCTTTTCCTCCTGCTCCTCTGATCCGAGCATGTGCTACCGCGCGCGAGGCCGCTCTCGCTATGACCTCGGGGAGGGACGGGCCTGGGCGTGATCGTCGTCGTCGTGGGGGGAGGAAAAAACGGCCGCAAAGCGTTTTCATTCAGTGCCTCACGACACTAGTTTATCCAGATCGATTCCACGAGCGCATACATGCTCGAATAAGCACCTGGTTTCCAGAAGAGATCTGCCCCTCCATAGACTCCACCCGTGACAGATGGCTAGCCCTCCGTGCGGTACTGATGAAGTCAGCACCAGCAAGAGTTTGGGCGCATATGAAGTCTCTCACAGGAGCGTGGATCACGAGCCACCGTGTGAAGATCCTCACGCCTCTCCCATGCAGGTTTGGCTGCCCTGACTCCCCCGACTCGTTCCTCCACTACCTCTCTTGTCCTCGTCTGCTGCACATGATTGCGCTTCCTCGTCTTTTTATCCCCACCGCTCCTCCGTACCTCTGGCTTGGCTTGGGCACGGAGGAGGAGTATCAAGATACCGACCTGAACATTAATGTAGCTCACGATCTTGTGGCGCTCGCCTACTCGATCTTCCATAAATTGCGAGCTGCACTGATCGAATCTCCGCATCAGTATGGCAGCTACACCTTTCAACTGTCGATCCGCCATGCGGCGCTCACGAGGGACTAACTGCGGCACCTCCGATGGACGTGCGCTCCTCCTCCTCCTCCTCCTCCTCCTCCTCCTCCCCCTCCTCCCCAGACCACCACCCGCCTCTCAGTCCCACGGCAAAGCCCGGCGGCCAGGCGCAGTTCTACATCGGCTCTCTGGTCCTCGTGCTCGAGGCCCGGCCGTCCGGCGGTGGGGCCCTCCCTGCCGCCGTCCGCACGTCGCGGGCGCGTCGCCCTCTCGCGCGTGGTGGCAAATCGGGCGGTGGAGCGTCCCAGTCACGATCTGTCGCGACGGAGTTGCCACCACGCCCGAGGAGGGAAACCTCGTGCGTTTGGGTTGTGTGTGGGGGTCGCGCGCGCGCGTGTGAGTGTGTGCGCGCAGTGGTTGTGCCCTTGTTTTTTCGTGCACGCGTCAGCCACGTCCTGACCACCCACCGACTGACGCCCGACGGTGGTCGATCTAGGCGCGCCCCGCTCAAGCACGCGCTGCGTTGGATCAACCGGCCAGAAGCCACAACGAAGCAACAACATACATATTTGTGTGTGGGCTATTATGTGTGTATGCCTGTGTTTGAGCGTGCGTGTGTATATGTGGGTGGGTGTGTTTGTTTGTGTGTGTGTGCGTTTGCGTGCGTGTGTTTGTGTGTCTGTGTGTGATCGACTTGCTTCGCGTCGTCGCTGCGCGCGACGCCTCGATCGCCTGACAAGTGTGTGTGTGTGTGTGTTGTATGTGGTGTGTTGTGTCTGTGTGTACTGCGTTGTGTGTGTTGTGGTTGTGTGCAGTGTGTGGTGTGTGTGTGTGTGTGTCTGTGTTGTGTGTGCTGTGTGTTGTGTGTTGTGTGTGCTTGTGCTTTGTGTGTGCGGTGTGTGTGTGTGGTGTGTGATGTGTGTGCGGTGTGTGATGTGTGTGTTGTGTTGTGTGTGGTGTGTTGTGTGATGGGTGTATGTTGTGTGCTCTGTGTATTGTGTGTTGTATGTGCGGTGTGTGGTGTATGTGTGTATGTGTGCGCCCGCGCGTGTGTGTGTGTGTGTGTGTTGTGTGTGCGTGTGGTCTCGCGCGTGGTGTGGGAGGGTCAACATGTCTCCCTTCCCCCACCCTGCCCCACGATAGATGGCTTCCCGAGAAGAGCGGGCATCTCGTCCAGGCTGAGTGCACGGCTTCGTTGTTCATTGGCTAGGGCGGTCTGAGATCGATCGCCATTACGCCGCGCCCCCCCCCCCTGGGACTGTGCAAACTATTGAAGCTGCGGGGCAAAATGTCCATACGGCCCCAAAAACCCACACGCCCTTTGTTCGACGGTGCATCCCAGGGCGGCTGCGTCGGCTACGCTGCAGTCCTGTGGGCGCCTAGCGCCGCCCTTGCCGAGTGTCGGCCCACCCGCCGGCCCCCCGTTTTGAGCTTCCAGCGTGAAGCACGAGCATCGAACCCTTGAGCCCTTCAAGTGGCCGGGTCTTGGGACGCTTCGGGGGGCCAGGTTGGGAGGCTGGGCCCAATCGGTTGCGCTCTCGGTTTGCGAGGGGAGATGAGGTTGATGATGTTCACGTGGACAAGGGTTATCCCCACATTGTGGCAGCAGGTCGAGAAAGCCAGAGCTGAGGTGGGCCCCTGTGTTTGATGCCGAGGTCTCCCCTGTCAGGTACCCGCAGCTGGCGGCGATAAAGTGGTTGGACAGTCGCGTCCGCCGCGAAGGCAGCCGTGCTCGCGGAGCTTGGGGTCCTCCACCACCTCTTGCACCAGGTGCCGCAGGTGCGCGTGCCGCCTTCTTGGGCGAGCGCGCCACCATGGCATCGGAGGCCCGATTAGGCGTGAAGCTAAGGTCACGGCCACGGCGACGGCGGCGGCGGGGATGCGCACCCGCCCTGTGATGGAGGCGCTCGCCGACCGCATGATCGTGTACCGGGACCTGAAGCCCGAGAACGTCATGCTGGATTCGCAGGCGCGCGCCCCGCGTTTTTCTGTTGCTGCCGGCGGCGGCCTGCGGCGGTCTCTTGGGTCCCCGCGTGGGTCTTCGGCATCGATCAAGGTTGAACAGATCGCCGCGGTGTCACACACCAACGCCGACGTCATCGCAATGCGAGCCCGCCATACCGTTTAACTTCCAGCAGGAGGAATGATCGAGACGCTTGATTGGTTTCGGCCTTCCTTGATCTTCCAGAGGCCCGCAAAGGCCTCTGGTGACTTTCGGGGGCTCGTGGAGCCCCCGCGAGACCCCATTATCGCGCTTCGCGCTTCGAGACCTTGGCCAGAGAGCCGGTGTTCTGCAAGGGACCGTGAAGGAGCGCAAAGAGATCCGCAGAGTGCGCACTCACAGGACCCAGGGCACAGGGATCCCCGCGGCGGCGGTGGCAATTCTTGGGGCCTGCGCACAGAGAGCCCCCGGGAGGTGTTCCGGGCTGGCCTCGGCATCCCCCTGCGCCACGCTCTGTCGGATCCCTCCTGGCGCCACGCACCCTGTGGTGAGTGAGGGTGTCGAGTCCAGCGTGGTGTGCGTCTGATGTCGGAGGAAGGGCTTCGTCATGTTGTTGATGGTGGGCTGGGGGCTGTTGCATCTCGCCCGGTCTCGCTCACTGGCCAGGCAGGCCATTGCCTTTGTGCGGCCGACGCGCGCGGCCGTGTTCTGACGCTGCGGCCCCTGGAGCGGCCCAAGGTTTGGCAAAGAGAAGTGTTGAGGCCACCGTGGACTAACGGCTCAGGGTGCAACTCCTGGGCGGTTCAACTTCAGCATCGGCGCTGGTAGATCCGTGGTCGAATAACAGCCTCATCTGGCATGTCCCCGCTTGATCTGGCTCGATCCCGCCTGATCCGCCCTTATCCGGCTTAGTACTGGGCTCACTCCGGCCGAATCCGGCATGAGTGACCCCTTGATCGGGCCTGCTAGCCCTTCATCGTTCTCACGACGGCCTCCCAGGAGATGCTCCCTGGCAGCCTCACTGCCCTGGGGGCATGCCGAGGCCAGCCTGGACCCCACTCTGGAGGCTGCCTATGCGCATCCCCGGGTCTTGGCCGAGCTGCCGTGTGTAGGAGGAGGAGGCGCGCCCTTCTGCGTCGCCTCGGAGGGCAGAAGCGGCCCCGACGGGCTCGATGCTGGCGTCTTCTCGGGCGAAGAGAACTATATGGTCGGACGGAGGTATAAGATCGAGGTCGGTTCGAGGAGGGTACCCTAATGTTCTTCGTGTTGGTTGGATGTTCTTGTGCACCCTGAGGAGGGTACCCGTGGATGTTCTGTGCGTTTTGGCCGGCGGAGGGTCTCGTGTTCTTGAGGGATGGTCTTCTGGCCTAGTTCCGATTGTACACTCGCGCCGATCCCAGCCAGGCCCAGGATCGCTCGGAGGGCGTATGTGCACCCCTCCTGGGCCCAGGACTGGCCTGGCCGAGCTCGGTGCGTGCGCACAGTGCTCCTTCTCCCTGGGGGCCTCCGCAGCTGCCCCCCCCCCGTCGGTCTGGCATCTGCCAGGCGCTTCGAGCTTCGTGAGAGCATTGGCGGGGAGGCCGTCACGATCTCCCGAGGTCGAGGCGCTGCACTGCGGGCCGCTTCGGGCTCGGGAGCTGCTCTGGGTGTCAGGCCGCTCCTCAGAGCCTGGTCGGGGAACCTGCTCTGGACGCTTCGCGTAACCCCACCCGTTGGCCGGCCGTCTTGCGCGTCGCTCAGTGCTTCATTAGGTTGGCCCGTGCCCGGGACAACCCCTTTCGGCGACAGCTTCGCGCGTCTGCCCGCGACCAAAAAAGTAACCCCACCGGCCTATTCAGAAACGATGGTCGGACGAGTCGCCCTGGCCCTGATCAGAGATGTGGAAGAACACGCATTGTAATAAAGGGCTGGGTAAGACGTTCTATTTCAAGAGGGGGATGAGGGAGGAGTCGGAGGAGGAGGAGGAGGAGGAGGAGGAGGAGGAGCAGGAGGAGGAGAATGAGCAGGGAGAGGGGGAGGGAGAGGAGGGAGGAGGAAGGAGGAGGAATAGGCGGATGAGGAAGAGGAGGAGGAGGAGGAGGAGGAGGAGGGCGAGCAGAAAGGCCAAAGGCCTCGTGGAAGCATCTCGAAGTGTCTTCGGATGTGTGCGTTCCAAAGATTCTTGGAGTTCTCTTGGGGGGTCTTAAGGGTCTCTCGGCAGTCCCTGCGGCGTATTGGGTACTTTTGGGGGATATCTTGGGGCCTCTTGGGAGTGTCTTAGGAGCCTATTGGCGGCGTCTTGCGGGCGAATCCTTGGGAGCCTCGGGGGTCATCCTAGGAGGCCAAAATGCGGCCAACACATGTGTAACATCAATGAGTTTAGCTTCCTCGCCGAGGCCTCTTGGGGCGCCTTGGGTGTCTCTGTGGGGGCATCTTGAGGCCTCTTGGGGGTCTCTCGAGGGCCTCTCGGGGGCATCTTGGGGGCCTCTTGGGGCCTCCTCGGCACCTCTTGGGCCGCCTTGGGGTACCTTTGGGAGCCTCAGGGACCATCTTGGGACAATCTTGGAGGAGGTCGATCAAAGGAGGGGGGGGTCCTAAATTAGGGAAGGGAGGCCACAATGTGGCCAACACCTTGGTAGCAACACTTATGTTGGCCTCCTCGCCGAGGCCCCTTGGGGCGTCTGCCTTGGGTGCCTCTGAGGGGCCTCTCAGAGCCTCTTGGGGGCATCTTGGGAGCCTCTTGGGCCCTTGGGGCCTCCTCGGCGCCTCTTACGGCCGTCTTGGGGCATCTTTGTGAGCATCGGGGGCCATTTGGGGGCCATCGTGGAGGAGATCCATCAACGAATAGGGAGGTTCCAACTCGGCCACTACCCCCAGGAGGCTAACATGCCGCCAACACCTTTAGGCACCTCTATGATGCCGGCTTCCTCGCCGAGGCGATCTTGGACGCTCCAACGCCTCGCGAGACGCTCCCTCCAAACCCAGGGTCTGTTGGCAGATTGCCCCTTGCGCTTGAGATTTACCCTGTCCCCCTCGAGGGCTGTCCCTACGCTTGGCGCGGAGCGCGCCCGAAGGCCGGCTCAGGCTGACGGCTCCTCGGCCCATACTGTTCCTCCGAGCCCGAAGCCCAAATCGAACGTTGGCCGGGGGCGCTCTGGGCAGGGGCGCCCTGACCGCCCCCGACTGGCAGGCCGACCCCCTGCCTGCTGGCCCTCGATCGGGGGAGGAAGCACGATGGCCATGACCAAAATGCCGCGGGATCTTGTCGACGCCGATCTTGGTCATGCTCCGTGCTGGCCGTCCCCGAGTCGCGAGGATGACAGACGGACTGGCGATGACCGAGATGCATGACGATCAGGACCGGTGCCGACGATCACTCGTGCAGTCTTGGGTCATGGTCCTCGCTCTCCTCCCCTCCGCTCGAGGCCCCCGTCCGCCCTCCTGCCCGCCCGCGTCTTGGGGGGCAGGCCGAGGGGGGGGGGGGGGCGCCCCGTGGAGGTGGGCTCCTTCGGGCGGAGCGGGGGCGGGCACACGCGAAGCGTGGATTGGGGATCCGTGGAGCTGCCGCCCGCGTCCTGGGGGGGAAGGGCCTGGGGGAGGGCGCTCTGTGGAGGTGGGCTCCCGGGCGGGCGCACGCCGGCACGGAGCTGGGGATCCGCGGAGCTGGCGCGCGGGCGCCCCATCCACGGATCGGAGAGCGCCCTGCGCGGGGTTCTGGGCCACGGGGAGCGCGCGACGAAGCTGCACAGCTCCCCCTGTCAGCGGCGAGCGAGGGGGGGTAGTGAGGAGGCGAAGGCCTTCTCAGGAGGCGGCGGGACTTCTCAGAAGCCCTCGGGCCTTCCGAGAAGTTGGTGTTTCGTTTTCGGGGAAGGCTTAGGGAATGTCTCAGAAGGCCGGGGGACTTCCTTCTGAGAAGGCCCGCCCCTTCTCGCTTCCCCCTCTCGCTCGCCGCCTCACTTGGAACCAGCGGCAGTGCCCCCCCCCACGTGGCCACACGCGCCCCGCGGTCGGAGCTCGCTCATGCACGGAGGGTCAGCGCGCAGTCGGTCTAGACCCACGCGCGATCGGGGAAAAAGTACCCACCCCCAGCCCGTGGAGCTTTGTGGGCCCCAGAAACGGCAGGGCCGTTTTTTTCACCGTTTCCCAGAAAATGCCCCTTGAAAATGGAAACGGTAAAAAAACGGCGAACGGAAACGGCAAAACGGAACCGGTAAAAAAACGACCTTGTCGTTTCCAGGGCCCACTAAGCCCTGGAGCAGGAGGCCGACGCCGCCTCCCCAGGCGGCGGCGCGCGCCGACATCCCGTGGACGCGGGGCCCGCCGCCCTCTCCCGCGCCCGGAGCCGTGGCGTCGTCGCTTCGAAGCGGGCGGCGGGGGCGCGCCCGATCTAGGTCCCGGGCACGGGAGGGCCTGGCTCTGTCCCCGCGGCCCCGCGGCGCCCTTCGGAGGGACGCCGGCAGTGCCACCACCACCGGCCCTGGCCAGGTCCATCCTGCTTGGCATCGCTCGGACGTGTGCGTTTGTTTTCTCGGCGAGGGCCTTCGAGGAGCATCCTCGACCATCTGGCGAAAAAAACACGTACGAAACCGAACAAAAACACAGGGAATTGACGTCCGAGCGATGGCCAGCCTGGGCCCTGGGCCAGGAGAGCCCGTGCACCAGTCCAGGGCCCAGGATGGGCCTGTGCAGGGCTGGTGGTGGTGTACGGTTTGGAGCTCTCCTGGCCCCACCCCTTTTTCCCAGGGCCGCTGTCTCATCTCGGGTGGTGTTGCGACAGTCCCGCAGTGGCGAGGGCCACCGGAGGCCGAGAATGGTCAGAAGCTTCCCGCCGTGGTCTGGTATCACGACGCGAGCATGTCTGGGAGCCCTGTGTCTCGGGCCGGACGATAGGGGGGGATTGGGAAAGGGGGGGGGGGGTACGAAATCTGCTGCATGCAGCTGGTTTCGGCCCCACCGAGGGGCTCATTCCTCGATGCATAGCCGCCTCCGGCGCCGGGAGGCGCCAGGAAAATCAGCTACGTGAGCTGATTCTCACCCCCCCCCTTTGCTATTATCCCCCCCTTTCGCCCGGCCCGAGTGTCGCCGCCAAGCTCCGGGGGCACACCGCCAGGGCTACCTGAAGCTGGTGGACTTCGGTATCGCGAAGAAGCTGGAGGAGGGCAAGGCCCAGACCTTCTCCGTGATAGGCGCGCGCCTGCGCCGTGGCGAGCGGGGACCCCCACCCTCTCGAGTCGTGAAGGTGTTCTTTCCCGTCCTGCCATTTCGAGAACCTCCCGTCGTGACAGACGACCCTTCTCCGCTGTTCTCGGCCTCCCGGGGCCGCCACTTGGCCCCAAGGCCACTGACAAACGGCTCGGGGCGAAACACCGGCCCAGGGACAGGGGCCCAGGCCTCCATCGGCTGGGCCCAGAATCGAAGTAAAAATCCCTTGGGGAGCGTTCCGGAACGCTCCGAAACGGCCGTAGCGCCCGAGACATCCTCCCAAACCCACCGACTCCCAGAGGTTTCCGAATCATATCGGTCCGATGTTGTACCGACTCTGCCTTCGTCTTACTCCAGGGGCCCGCGTTGTCAGAAAGTCGGGGAGCCGGAGCTCTGGGGCGCCTGGGCCGATTGTCCGTTCGGCTCGATCTCATTTTCGGGCCACTCCTGCTCATTCTCTTGGGCTCCCCTCCTTCTACCTCCTCTTGCTCCCCCCCCTGCTGATACCTACTTCTACCGCCTCCCTGCCTCTACCCCCTTCTGCTGCCTCCTTCCACCTCTGTCCAGTTTACTCTGGGTCAGTCCGCCGATTGGAGTAGGGACGCGTTCCTCACCCGAGTCCAGATCCGAAGCTGAATGCCCTGTCATCCTCGCCCCCCAACCCTCTTCTCCAGTCCCCACCCCACGGGAGCAGGAGGTGATCCCATGGATCCAGCCGTGGCCTCAGATATACGATGGTGACAAGCATGGAAGCCACTCGGCATGCGCAGTCGTCGCTTCAGGACATGGTCAATTCGCATCCCTTCCTTTCTGTCGCCCCTCCCATTCCACCGCTCCCTCACCCAATCGCCAACCAACCCCTCTCCCCTCCTCGTCTCCCAATTTCCCTCGCCTGCATATCCCCCTACAATTCTCGGGCCGTTGTGGGCGCTCTCGGAGGGCTATTGGGCCGTGTTGGAGCGATCCTGAAAGCTTCTAAGGCCGCCCTGGAGCGCCAGTAAGCCCCCCAAGGCGAGAACGGCAAAAACCTTTTCAAAAGTCAAAGGTAAACTGTTCATTTCTGCCTCTGTGGGCCCTCATGGAAGGTCTCTTGGGGCCTCTTAGGGCCTCTTGGGGGTCTCTTGGGGCCTCGGGGCCTCTTGGCAGCGTCTTGGGGGCCTCTTTGAGCCTCCAAATTACCTCTCTGCGCCCAGAGCTCGACATGTCCTCTCGGGTCCCTCGTCTGGGCCCGCTCTTGGTGCCGCCTTGGGAGCCTCTTCGGCCATCTTGGAAGCCTTTGAGGCTGTCTAGGGGCCCTCTGGGGCCGTCGTGGGCGCTTTTGGAAGGCTCTTGGGCCTTGCTGGGGCGATCCTGGAAGTCTCGTGGGCCGTCCTGCAGCGCCGGAAAGCTCCCACGGCGAGAAAGCCAAAAACCTTCAAACATTGAAGGGACATAACTAATTTTTGGCTCTGTGGACCTTCTGGGGAGGTCTCTTGGGGCCTCTTGGGGGTCTCTAGGGGCCTCTCGGGGGCCTCTTGGGGGATTCTCAGGGGCATCCTCGGGCTTCCAGGGAACCTTTCGGCGTCTATAGAGCTCGACATGTCCGTTCGGGTCCCTCGTCTTGGCCCGCTCTTGGGGCCGTCTTGGGAGCCTCTTCGGCGGAAGCCTCTGGGGCTGTCTAGGGGCCCTCTGTGGCCGTTGTGGGCGCTCTTGGAGGCCTCTTGGGCCTTGTTGGGGCGATCCTAGAAGCCCCTGGGCCGTTTTGGAGCGCTGGTAAGCTCCCAAGGCGAGAATGCGAAGAACCTTCAAAAACTTATTAGGAACAGCTTAGGAGGTCTCTTGGAGGCCTCTTGGAGTTTTTTGCAGTCGCTTCGGGCTGTCTGGAGGCACTCTTTGGCGTCTTGGATCGCTCGTGGGCCGTCTCGAGGCCACTCGAAGCGCTTCTGGATGGCTCTTGGGAGCCTGCTGGGACCTGGCCGGAACCTGCCCGGGACCTGCCCGGGATCCTGTCGGGACATTGCCGGGACTTGCGGGGATATTTTTCGTCGGGGGACACCCAGGGGCGGCCCCGCGCGCGCGAACTAGAATATTGTTCACCAGTCACCGGAGATCTTAGCACGCCCTTGGCCCGTTGGGCCGGCGAATTTTGGCCTCTCGGGCCCTGTTCAGAAGGCTTTTGGGGATCTCTTCGGGCGTTTCGGAGGCCTCTTGGGCCATCTTGGCATCTTGGACCGATCGTGCAGCGATTCGGGGCACCCTTGTACGGTCGGGGCGGCCTCTTTGGGATCTCTTGGCCCATCTTCGGCCCCTTCTGGCTTTCAAACAGGTATGCGGAAACATTTGTCGCGCCCCAGAGGGTGCGCGGCAAGCCCCAATAGAATTGAGAATTCGTGGTCTGGGCCTTGAAAAGAATCCTGTGGATTGAAGATTGAGGCTCAGGGGTTAAGCAAGGGACCTGGGGACACCTCTCTGCATGCCACAAGGGCACGGTGGCGGATAATGAATACTCCCCAAGCAGCGCTTGGATTCAGAGGCTCTTACTTCTTTTCTACGGAACTGGGCCCGGATGTCGGTCTGGCGGCTCCGTGCTCACAGTCGCCGCCCTGTCGTCGCCTCGTCGCCTCCAGTCGTCTTTGCCTGAGTGTCGGTCTGGCGGCTCCGTCTTCGCCGTCGCCGCCTCGTCGCCGCCCGTCGTGTGCGCCTGGCTGTCGGTCTGGCTGTTCCGTGCTCGCCGTCGCGGCCTCGTCGCCGCCAGCCGTCTCTGCCTGAGTGTCGGTCTGGCGGCTCCGTGTTCGCCGTCGCCGCCCCGTCGCCGCCCGTCGTGTGGGCCTTGGTGTCGGTCTGACGGCTCCGTTGTCGCCGTCGCCGTCATCTGCCGCCATCCTACTCGCCCAACCTCGATCCCTCCGACTCCGACTCATTTCGATCCGACCCGATATCGAGTCGTTCTTGACTGGCCCTGGGGCCCGGTATATGGGCCCCCAGAGGCCGAAACCGCCCAAAGATTCCCCGTCGAGATTTCTGCGCACTTCCAAGGGGTCTGGGTTTGTCTTGCGCCGCTCCTGCCGTGACGCTGGGCCGCGCGCGCGCGTTGCGCTCGCGCGCGCCTTGCCCCCCCCCCGTGCTGGGGGGCGCGCGCGGGTCGCAGGCACCCCACACTACATGGCCCCCGAGGTGCTGAACGGCAGGCCCCTCGCGGCCTCGAGGGGGCTGGGGGGAGTGGAGCGGGGGGGGCGGAGCGGAGCGGGCGCCGTCACAGCGCGATAGGGATCGGGGGGGAGGCCGTCACACAGCGCGATGGGGGGAATGGGGAGGAGGAGGAGGAGGAGGAGGAGGAGGAGGAGGAGGAGGAGGAGGGGGAGGAGGAGGAGGAGGAGGTCAGAACGCCACAGTCGTAGGATTCAGGTTTGGTCACAACGTACAGCGAGGAGGAGGAGGAGGAGGAGGAGGAGAAGGAGGAGGAGGAGGAGGAGGAGGAGGAGGAGGAGGAGGGGGAGGAGGGGGAGGAGGAGGAGGGGGAGGGGGAGGGGGAGGGGAGGAGGGAAGAAGAGAGGGGCTGGAGCAGGAGGGGGAGGCGGGCGAGGGAGGGGGAGGGGAGGAGAGGATGGAGGGAGAAGGGGGGGGGTCGGCGACGAGGGGATTAGGTTGGGGAGGTGGAAGAGGAGGAGGATGAGGAGGAGGAGGAGGAGGACCAGTGTGTAAACCCAAGACGGATCAACGATATTACAATGAACCCTCCCTCCAAGTTCCCTCTTCATGGGCCCCATACAAGAAATTGACCCGTTGGAAAACAACCGCGCGAAATTCCGGAAATGTAGCAGAACACCATTCCTGGGACTACGACGCCGAATCACCGTTATTGCTGCGTCTTGACGGTCCTGAGTCGTGCCAGAAGACCATGCTTGTGACTTCAACAAGACGAATCAATGTAACTGGTGTGTCCTGACAGCCCGACATCGTGCGAAAGCGATATTTCTAGGACGCTAGCCATGGGAATCCTCAGGACGATTGTAAGCTCTTGGACCGAATGTGCGCGGCGCTAAGGCGAGAGCCACATTCTGAACATGAACCGCCTCCCTGCCGTGAACCTCGTGCAAACTCGTAAGGCGAATGTGCGCGGCGGGCGCCGAAGCGAGAGCCACATTCTGAAAGCGGCCCGCCTTCCAGCCGTGAAGCTGCTGCATTTTGGAGGCGGATGCGTGCGGCGCGAAGGTGAGAGCCACCGTGTGACGACCACCTGCGCTCCGTCCGTGGAGCCCGTGCACCTGTCCCCGCAGTCCTGGGATGTTGGGCCTTCGTTTTGAGGAGACCGCGCCCCGCGTCCCTGCTCTTCCTCCTCCTCAACCTCCTCCTGCCCACCTCCTCCAATCATCATCATCATCATCATCATCATCACCATCATCACCACCACCATCATCATCATCATCATCATCACCACCATCATCAGCATCATCATCATCATCACCATCATCATCACCACCATCATCATCATCATCATCGTCGGACGACGCCGTCTCCGTCGTCGTCGGCATCATCATGGCCGGCATCATTACCATCGTCGTCATCATTGCTGTCATCATCACCATCATCGTCATCATTCCCGTTTCGGCATACACTTCACAAGTTTCGTGGCCCCAAAGGGAGCTCCACAAAGGGTCCCAGTGGCGCCGCACGCATGTGGGTGCCACCCCCGTTTCGGCACCCCTCACACGCTTCGTGGCCACAGAGGGACTTCCACCTGAGGCCCCAGTGGCGCAGCCCGCATGTGGGCGACACTCCCGTTTCGGCACACCCATTACACGTCTCGTGGCTCCACAGGGAGCTCCACAGAAGGCCCCAGCGGCACAGCCTGCACTCGGGCGTTGCCTTATAGGGAGTTCCACTTACGACGGCACTCACGATTGCGGTAATCACAACTGCATGTGGTTGGGTTCTTCTCCAGGCTAATTTTGAGACGGGCATGCGCGGCGCTAAAGCGAGAGCCACATTTTGAAAACGACCCGCCTTGCATCCGTGAATTTGCTGCAAATTCTCAGCCTCAGGATGAGAAGTGTTGAGGTCGTCTCAGGGGAAACGCCTTGCCCGCCCTTTCAACCGGCCTAGGGGCGCGACAGGGAGGACTTATGAAGGAATGGGGGAGGAGGGGGAGGAGCAGGAGATGGAGAAGGAGTGGGAGTAGGAGTGGGAGGAAGAAGGGAAGACTGGGAATAGGGGGACGGGGTGTGGACGACGGCGACGACGACGACGACGACAACGACGACGACTAGGGGAGGGGCATGGTCAATCCTGTGGACAGCTGGGTTTCTACGCCCCGCGCTTTGAGAACGACTCGAACCAGGCGAACAATGATCCTTATCTGAAAGTATATGAGCCGATGCTGTCCAGGCTATTGGGTGTCGCAGGCAAAAACAACATCAAATGGCGCTCAGTTTTGTCATTTCCTTAAATCGAGGACATGTCTTCTATGGCCATATCCTCCAGACAATCCTACACTCAATCAGTCGCCCATTTTTTCGGAATGGCGTGGGCCGAGGGTTCTTCTTTGGGTTGTGTTCCACTGCCAACCGGTGCCATGTTCGAGGTGGGCCGGCGGACATATCCTTGGGTAAATGGCCGGTGATCTTGGTGGGCCGGTGATCTTGGTGGCAGCTCATGCCCCTCATTCTTTGGATCGTCTTGAAAACCAATGTGCATTTTGGGAGCTACTCGGATCACATATCCGAGTGTGGCGAAGCAGGTATGCAAGTGCAGCATTTGTGATGGCGATCGATGCTAACGCGAGGGTTGGGTCTATTAAGTCTCCTTCGATTGGTACGTGCGAAATTGCTAGGGAGACCCCGAATGGGGCCATGTTCCGGGAGACTCTGGAGGAGCTGAAGCTTGCTGCTACCAACACCTTCTTTGAGGCAGGTTGGACGAGGATGTCAACGTACAGAACTACTTCGAGGATCGACTACATATGTGTACTTCAATCCGAGCTTCCTCGTGTTCGCCGTGCTTGGGTCGAAGATGGCATCGATCTGTCACTTTCGGAGTCTGTTGATCACAGGCTTGTTGTTGCAGACTGTGAGGTTCGAGCTCTCCCAGTGGAGGGCCCCGCCCGGACCGTGCAGCCGCGCTCTTGTTTAATCCACAAGTGCCGTTTTGACCGGTCCAAGCTGCAGGACGAGAAGTGTAGGCGACATTTTCAGTCTTTGGTCTGGCGGTTTCGCCCTCTCCCCGGCTCCAGCGTGACTGAACACGTTGAGCAGTTCAATTCGTACCTTCGTTGGGCTTCTGTTGCTGCGTATGGGTCTCAGAACGACTCCCCTCGTAAGCCATGGATCTCTGCTCTGACTTGGTCCGTGCTTAGGTGGGGGGGCCCGCTTCGTCGGATTTCCGATGGCCTGTGGCGGGTGAGAGCCAAGCAGAAATTAGCTTTAGTGTTTCACGCTCTAGCGTCAGCTGTGTCCTTTCCCTTTCCGTGTCAGGCTCCGCGGCCATTCGGCTGGCAGGCAAAAGCCAAATGCATGGAGATCCACTTTAGCATCGGCCGTCTTGACATTCTCATTGCTGCGTGGAGTAGGGGGTTCCGCATTTTTCAGAGCGTCAAGTTATTGTGTGACATTGACCGCAACAGGCTGCTTGAGCCATATGCCGCTGAGCTGGACCAACATGCCTTGAATGCCAGATTTTCGGGCCTTTTTAAGGTTGTCCGATTGCTCACAGGTAACAAGCCTGCGGGGAATGCCAATCTCACCATGGACTCTGGAAGAATGAGCGCCTCATCCCATGAGCGGGACCTCGCTTGGAAGGAGCACTATCAGAGAGTATTCCGAGCCGAGGTTGTGAATTTTCAGTCGATTGAGGCTGTCTCCGGGCACAGGCCCGATTCGCTGGTCTCAGAGTTGCGCATGTCTGTTCAGGACACGTACGACTCGCTGCGCCGTTTGAAGCCCAACAGGGGTGTAGGTTTGTGACGGCCTCCCTGCAGAGCTCCTCCAATCGGGGGAGTAACTACGCGGTAGCTGTAAAGGTCAATGCAATCGAGCAGATAGTAGTCGAGTCTCTCCGGTGGCCCACGCAGTGGACAGGAGGAAAACTGGCCAGTGTTTTCAAGGGCAAGGGGCCCACGTCTGAACGGAATAACTATCGCGGCATCCTCCTTGCCGACCATGTCTGCAAATCTTTTGTCTCGCGATTGAAGGACGTTGTGGACCCAATGTGCAACGATAGAATGCCATCCACACAATTTGGAGCAGTGCCTCGTCGTGGCACCGATGTTGCTTCACATCTTGTTCAGGCTGTTGCTGCACTGGCCGAGAAGAACGGCTGGTCTATCTACATCATTTTTGTTGATATTGTCAAAGCTTTTGGCAGGGTAGTTCGTGAGTTAGTGTTTGGATGTCCATCGTCGGTCCCGGCCGACTCAGAGTCGAGACTGCGGTACCTGGCGAGCTTGGGACTTCCCCAGGAGGTTGCCCAGCACGTGCATGCTTTTGTCTCCGAGCACGGCCCACTGTTGGAGCAGTGGAGCGTCGATGGCACAACAATCGTTCTGCTTAGGAACCTACACGAGAGTTCGTGGTTTTGCATTGGATCGATTGATGAGGTGATTTGCTCTAGGTTCGGCGGCCGCCAGGGTCGCAAGGTAGGGGCGATGATTTTCAATGCCGTTTATTCAATCGCACTGTCCGCCTTGAAAGATAAACTCAAAGAGGCCAGGTTCGTGCTGCAACTCCCCTGCCCCGGCACGACTGAATTTTTTGGGGCCATCGCCGACCCTCCTGCAAGCCATGCTAACATCTGTGATTGTGCATTCGTGGATGACGAGTGCATTGTCCTCGTCAGCAAAAATGCGCGGCAGCTCGAGGCCGCCATCCCCAAGGCTCTGAACGCCTTGTTTGAGTCATTCTCGGCACTAGACCTCGAGATCAACTGGTCCAAGGGGAAGACTGAAACCTTGGTTCGATTTCGGGGGTCTGGGGCTCAGCAGGTTTTCGCGTCGCACTGTCACGACGGCCGGCTGTCTTTTGAAGTGCCTTGGAGCTCCTCCAGAGTCCTCGTTGTCGACCATTACAAGCATCTTGGCACGAATTTGTCGCTGGATTCAGCTTGCATGGCAGATGCTAGGCATAAGGAGCAATCCACGTTGGCAGCCTACTCCCTTCTCGCCGTGAAGATTTCCGTTTCCCCGGTCATCCATGAT